ACCTGGGTGCTTCAACTAGCAACTAAAAAGAGACATTTCCAAAAAAAAAGAACATAGCAATCTAGATCTAGCAAGAGAATTTTTCTATAAAACAGAAATTTTCTCTAAAAGAGTAAATGCGGACAAAAATGTATTTTTAAAAATGCTTTATCGCATGTGTATTTCTGGATGTGGTTGACAATTGTCACCATTAAAACAGCCCTATCGCTGCTGCATGCCCATGCTGGAGCAGCTTATGCGGACGGTTCATGCTCTCACTGCGTCCTGGTCCTTCCACCTCCAGGTGCGAGGTGTGACGCTGTGCAGAGAAACAGAGCTGAGGCTGGGTCCAAACGCAGTGTAGCTTTATTAAACAAACTTAAAACAAGACACTAGAAACAAGACTCGAGAGACGTGAAAGCACCAACGTAACACATAAATTCAACAACCAACAAAGACAGGGCAGAAACACAGGGCTTAAATAATCAAGGACAAACGAGCTAGACAAGATAACAAGGGGGCGTGAGAAATGAGAAACACCTGGGATAAATAATAGACGGGCAATAACTAATAACAAAAACACACAAAATCACTTCGTGACATAGCCTCCCCCCTATGGGCGGCTCCCGACGCCCATACAAACATCAAAAAGTTCAGGAGGGCGGTGAAGCGGAGACAGTCTTGGGGGAGGGACGGAGGGCCAGGCCCGTGCAGGGGAACAGGACCAGGAGGTAGCCAAGGCGGGCCTGGGCCGCAGAGCATGGGCCTACCAGACTGGGCCGGAGACCAAGGCGGAGCAGGACGAGGCGGAGGCCAGGGCGGAGCAGGACGAGGCAGAGGCCAGGGCGGAGCAGGACGTGGCAGAGGCCAGGGCGGAGCAGGACGTGGCAGAGGCCAGGGCGGAGCAGGACGAGGCAGAGGCCAAGGCGGAGCAGGACGAGGCAGAGCAGACTCAAACAGAGACGAGGGCGGAGCAGACACAGGCAAGGTCCATGACAGCCTCGCCTCCATGGCCCCCACAGAGTACCTACTGCCCCCCCCCCAAAACATACTTGGGGAAATTCACGGGAGGAGCCTCTGGGTGGTGAACGGATACAGGAAAGGCCTCCCGGAGCTTGAAGGGTGCAGGCAGGGCGAGGCGCAGAGGCGGGGCCGGCAGAGCGAGGCGCAGATGCGGGGCCGGCAGGGCGAGGCGCAGAGGCGGGGCCGGCAGGGCGAGGAGTCTGGGCACGCTCACCGGGGCCTGGCGAACCAAACGAGTCCTCCTTCTCCTCCTCCTGCGGCAGCGCGTCACAGGGCTAGACACACTCGCTGGGCTGGACAACTCACTCACTTGAACTGGAGATGCAGCGCTCACTTGAAGAGGAGATGCAGCGCTCACTTGAAGAGGAGATGCAGCGCTCACTTGAAGAGGAGATGCAGCGCTCACTTGAAGATGAGATGCAGCGCTCACTTGAAGAGGAGATGCAGCGCTCACTTGAAGAGGAGATTCAGCGCTCACTTGAAGAGGAGATTCAGCGCTCACTTGAAGAGGAGATTCAGCGCTCACTTGAAGAGGAGATTCAGCGCTCACCTGAAGAGGAGATTCAGCGCTCACTTGAAGAGGAGATTCAGCGCTCACTTGAAGAGGAGATTCAGCGCTCACTTGAAGAGGAGATTCAGCGCTCACTTGAATAGGAGATTCAGCCACTTGAAGAGGAGATTCATCCACTTGAACAGGATCACTCACTTGAACTGAAGATTCACTCACTTGAACAGGAGACTCGCTCACTTGAACTGAAGATTCGGCACTCACTTGAACTGAAGACTCAGCCTCACTTGAACTGGAGATTCATCCACTTGAACCGGAGATTCATCCACTTGAACAGGATCACTCACTTGAACTGAAGATTCACTCACTTGAACCGGAGACTCATCCACTTGAACTGGAGATTCATCCACTTGAACTGGAGATTCATCCACTTGAACAGGAGATTCATCCACTTGAACAGGAGATTCATCCACTTGAACAGGAGATTCATCCACTTGAACAGGAGATTCATCCACTTGAACCGGAGATTCCCTCGCGGGGCTCACGTGAATCGCGAGTTCGGCTGGGCTGACGTGAAGCGCGGGCTCGGCTGGGCTGACGTGAGTCGCGGGCTCGTCAATGCGCACGTGAAGCGCGGGCTCGTCGTGACTGACGTGAACCAGCGGTGAAGACGACGAGGGCTTCGCGGGTAAAGTACACTCGGCAGGTGTCGAGTAGAATAAGCGCGCAGTAGTGAAGAGGTCCTGCAAGGAACAAGCCCGAGCGACATACCCGTCAAGAGTCCAGTTGGCAAGGTCCCCCGGCATCCATCGAGCGATCTCATAATCCAGCCCGTTCCGAAACAGGCCCATGAGCTGGATATCATCTAGCGCTCCCACACTGCAAATGGACAGGAACTCCTTCGCGTACCTTTGGACAGACCGGCCCTCTTGCAAGACTGACGACAGGTATTCTGTCATAGCCCGGTTGCTGACGACTGCTGGACCCATATTGAGGTTGGTTGTTCTGTGACGCTGTGCGGAGAAACAGAGCTGAGGCTGGGTCCAAACGCAGTGTAGCTTTATTAAACAAACTTAAAACAAGACACTAGAAACAAGACTCGAGAGACGTGAAAGCACCAACGTAACACATAAATTCAACAACCAACAAAGACAGGGCAGAAACACAGGGCTTAAATAATCAAGGACAAACGAGCTAGACAAGATAACAAGGGGGCGTGAGAAATGAGAAACACCTGGGATAAATAATAGACGGGCAATAACTAATAACAAAAACACACAAAATCACTTCGTGACACGAGGGTACCAATGGATGCATTTCTGCTGGGTGTGTCCCCATGGACTTTCTATTCCTCCGCATTCCCATCTCTCCTAGTTGAGTTCATGGATTAGATTAGGCGGTTTGTCCTATGGTGAGCCTAATTTATTATTCAGGGCTCCAGGTGAGGATTAACAGTCATCCTGGCAGAATCGTCCCAGACTTCCTTCTATGGCATGCAAGTTAACTCTGTCTCTAACGGCAGAGCCAAGCAGTACTCCTTGGCAGGCCACCATCCTGCTGGTCAAGGCATTAAAAGATTTACATGAGGGTAGTTCTGAGCCGGGATTGATGCAGGAACTGGATTCCGTGAAATGGGCACATCTCTAACAAGACTATGCTTGATCAGTACTGAACTGCTTAAAGTGCAAGTTCAAGTGCAAGACAGCGGTACCACTGAAATATTTTCAGAGGTTCCTGTGGCATATGACATCCTCAGTCACAGTGACGCCACTTAGGTTGATGCATATGAAACCACTTCAGCATTGGCTTCATGCTTCAATCACGAGATGCACACATCCAGTGAGCATCACGTCGATATGTCGCCGTACTTTAAGTCCTTGGACAAACCTAGCATTTCTACGGGTGAGAGTTCACTTATAATAAGTGTCCAGACGTGTCGTCGTCACAATAGACTCTTTCAAGACAGGCAGGTGTGCTGAATGCAATGGGCATGCAGCCTTAGGAACCTGGACAGGTCCCTGACTGCACTGGCACAACAACTGCCTTGAGATGTTGGCTATGCTGCTAGCCTTGAGAAGGTTTCGGCTATTGATCCATGGCAAGCGTGTGTTGTTCCGAATGGACAATGTGGCGATGGTGGCATATGTTAATCTCCATGGTGGTATCTGCTCTTGTCGCATGTCCCAACTCACCCACCGTCTCCTCCTTTGGAGTCAGCAGCAAATTAAATCACTGTGAGCCACTCATGTCCTAAGCGACCTTAGGCCCCGTCCACACTACTGCGTTTTCGTTTAAAAACGGAGAATTAAAACGAATACGATCTCCGCCCACACCAGCGTTTTGTCTGCGTATTAGAATTGATCTCCGTCCACATTAAAACGACTGAAAACGCAGATCACGTGACCATTCACCAACACTGGGCATGCGCGCGCCGGTGTAAACAGTGTTTGGCGAATCAGGGAAGGACACGTCATGACTGATAACACCCAATCATAGAGCCGAGCGTGAGCTTCTGCGTCATCGTTTGTAAACTCCTCCGTTTTGTCTCGTCCACACTAAAACGCCCTCCGGAGATTCAAAACGCAAAACGCAGCTGCAGCGTTTCTAAACTTCTCCGTTTTAGGTCTTCGTTTTTCCCGTTTTAGTGTGGACGGGAGGTGCAAACGTAGCAAAAGGTCTCCGTTTTTAAACGAAAACGTAGTAGTGTGGACGGGGCCTTAATTACGCAACTGACTCACTCTTATGAGAGGCTATGCTCCATGGGGAGTGGAGACCCCATCCCCAGTCTTTCAGCTGATTTGGAGTTGATTTGGCAAGGCACAAATATAGTCAAGTTAAGTCATCCTCATTTATATAGCGCTTTCAACAATGTAGATTGTTTCAAAGCAGCTTTACAGAAATAAACATCATTTAAGGCAGGGTTTCTCAAACCCTGATCAAACACACCTGAGCAAGCTAATCAAGGTCTTCAGGATCTCGAAACTCACAGGTAAGTGTGTTTGATCAGGGTTGGTGCTAAACTCTGCTGGACAGCGGCCCTCCAGGACCGAGTTTGAGAAACCCTGATTTAAGGCAACAGAGATTGGTTTGGTTTTATAGCGGCTCTTGAATAATGTTATTTTACAGCTAAAGTTAGTTTTAGGGGCCGCTAAGATGACATCGCTCTCTCAAAACAGCGAAGAACACCACAACATCAGAGGTGTTTACGGCTCCCAAGTGTGACCCATTATGCCAGTTTTGACACAACATCTCATTCCCTCCATCAGGAAACAGAAGTTACAATAGTACAGAGATATTTTCTATTGCTGAATAATTTTCTGTATGGCTCTGTTGGGATCTGTAGTCCCCATTTAAATACAGTTTTGTTTTGTTTTTTTATTACTGTAATGGCAAAGCTGAATTTTCAGCAGCCAGTTTTCAGTGTCACATGATGTTTCAGAAATTCTCATTATAATATTCTGAGTAATATTCTTTTTTATTTGTTTTCCAGGGTTTAATGAAAAAATTTATTCGCTGCTCAACAAGAGTGACTGTTGGAACAATTAAGAAGTTTTTAAGTCTGAAGTTAAAGCTTCCCAGTTCGTATGAGGTAACATTTGGATATCTTTAGCCTATGTATTTGACCATTTTCCTGTACAAAGATTGAATGATTTGTTGGAATTTACATATTGCCTTTGCATTTTGTTTAAATCTCATATTTATATGAATATGTTGTTATGCATTTTGCAGGCACATTTATGCAAAGCTTATAGTGCTTATAGTGGGATAAACATAAGTTTTAGCAGTACATGGTAATTAAATTTGAATTTGGCACTGCTAGAGATATTGTCATGATTCAAGTCCAATGATAATGAGGAAGGCAGATTAAATTGTTCAATAATAACAAAAACAAGGTTTATTTAACAAGAGCAACAACACAAGACATGGGGTAACGCTTCCTTTTACAGTCCAGTTACCCATGTAAATACCATATACTTATTTTAGAAACTACAACAACTAGTACAACTAGTACTAACCCTGAACCTACCCCTAAACCTACCCCTGTTCCATGTACTTACCTTATATTAGCCAGTAATTTCTAGGTAAGTACACTGTAAGTACTGTACTGTAAAAGGAAGCGTTACCGACATGTGCATGGCATAAACAATACAGAACGAGGAGGGAAAGGAAATGAGGAACTTAAAAAGACAAGATGATTAACTAAATACAGTGTGCTTGTTATTCAATGTCCATGACAATTAATGACTGTCGGAAATCTAGACCAAAGGAAACAGTAACTAAAGAGAAACAAACTAAAAATCCATGAAAGTTAATCTAACCTGCGGAGTCCTGCAAATGACATGCAAGAAAATAAATAGTAGGCTAAATTCGTTCCCTCGATTTATAGAACTAAATGAATGAATAAATGTATAAATAAATAAATGTGTGAAAAATACAATAATACATAAATAAGGAAATAAAAATATAAATACTCATTTATTTGTACTTTTTTACATTTCATTGTATATTTATTTATGTATACGAAAAAATGTGATATACGAAATGTAATACACGAAGATATGTAAAAAATCAATAATTTATAATAATTTATGTATTTTTTTATGTATTTTTGCTTTTTTACATTTCTTCGTATATTCATTTATGTATTTATTTATTTTTTATTAAGTCAGCTTTGGCATACCATATTTATGTTTTGTTTGTTTTATACTTGCCTTGGTGTTTTGTACTGCCATACATTTAAACAGATCTGATAATATCTAACTGTTTCTGCAGCTAGATGTTCTATGCAATGGTGAGATCATGGGTAAAGACCACACCATGGAATTCATCTACATGACCCGCTGGAGGCTTCGGGGAGAAAATGTAAGCCATGAGAATACCAGTATCTCCTCCTCTCCTCTTATGCGTGAAATCTGAATCCTCTCATCTTTTCCACTGGGAAGAGCAGTGTGGCAGACCCTATTACCTAAAGGAGCTTCATAGCAAGTGTGGTTTTTCTCTTCATGGTACTAACATTGCAGGGCTCCAGACCAACTTTTTACTCCATTTACTCGGACAAACAGTCAACATTCGGGGACAGGCACTATGGCAGCTGAGGCAATTGGTGATTTTTGGAGACAGAAAGATTATATATCACCTCGAAGTCACCTAAAGGGCCTTAACTATGCATTGCAGGGTTATATTAATAATTTTATTGTTGAGAAGGTCGTTGAAAAGCTTCAGCTCCAGGCAAAAATGTACAGGTCACGGGTTAGCTGCACATTATGATTGGCTCATCACGTTTGAGGACGTGGCTTTGCCATAGATCAATTCAGTCGCACACTCAAATTTTGCATTACATATAACTAAGACAGCCATAAAACTTTAAGGTTAATTCCAAAACAAGTCGGTTCAGTCGAGTCCCCACTCTTCAACTGAGCAGGTGCTTCATTAGTTTTAGCATTATGATTGTAACTTTTGCACAAGGCTGGAGCTATGTATGGTAGATATGAGGACTGGATCAATTATTGGACGAACATTTTTTGGTCCTCAGGCTTCCACAAAGATACATGTACGTTTTAATTGATTAAAAAAATTAACTAGATTAATCTGATTTTCATAGATTTTCTATGATCAATCACTTATGTTTTGAATATATTTTATAATGTAATAATTTCACAGTTAATATCCACATTAATGTAGAGACAACTTAAAGACTTATTTTAAATACTTGTTTAATGGCATCTTTTTATGAATGAAGGCCAGTATTACTAATACTAATACAGCTACTGAAGTCTCATGAAAATTATTTTTCCCCCAACTTTGAATATTAATTATAGCCATTCAACATTGCAGTGTGAAAGCTATCAATTTTTTTTTTCTTCATTTATTAGGCTTAAAAAAAAAAAAAAAAAAAAAAAACTTTCAAACTAATGCTGCTCACATAAACCCATAATCAATGTCATTGTTACAATTAGGTTGAAACGAGGAGGAAACAGGATCCAAATGCAGCACACTTTATTAAACAGAACTCCAGACTTTACAAACTCAGAAATAAGACTCAGGAACAGGACAACCAACATACAACATAGCAATATTAAGAACTCACAAAGATTGAACTAGACACAGGGCTTAAATACATTCTAGACTAATGATAAGACAAGGGACACCGGTTAACATTTAAACAATCAACCAATAACAACAAGACTAGAACAAGGGATCACATGACAGGCAAGAACCAGGAACAAGAAACAAAACCCAAACCGTGACCGTCATATATTTAGTGGCTGCTGTCACTTTAAGCAGCTGCAGCTGCTGACAGAGAAACGGCTCTCATTCTCTCACAACTCTTCGCTCATTTAAGACCTTCTTTAACTCATTTAAGACTGCTCTTATGAGGATACTCGACAAAATGGACATTTTGGTATAAATGTATGTTACTATTCGTTCAAGCACGAAAGAGAACTCAAATATAGCACATTCTCTTTTGTCTTGTCGCACTTGAATGGTTTAAAACCATTTCCATGAAGAAGAGTGTGATCATATAATGTAACTCTAGCCAAAGGATGACAGAAAAAACAGATGCGTTAATTGTGTTAAATATTTTTAACGATTTAAACTGGAAAAAATAAAATCCATTAACGTGTTAACATTCACAGCCCTAGTTATAATATTTAGACCACTTCTATTATAGATTGCTATCAGGATGTGGAGAGAGTTTTAACCAGTATAACAAAAAGTGTTTGTAAAACAAATTGCCTACCCTACCTTTAAAAGAAAGACGTTCCACGACCTCAGAAATTGTTAAATGACAGTATGTCAGCGTGATTTCAACTTCAATTTTAAAATTGTGTTTAAAGGTGTGTGGGGGGTTGACTGCGATTTCACTTTTTTCATTTTAAATAGTGTGTAATGTTGCTGTTGGTGCATGAACATCATCATGAGCACTTCATCAACAATGGATACTATTTATGTATGTTCCTGAAAATGACGATTGTAATTTAGCTCTCTGTGCTGTGCATTTTACGGAAGACAGCTTCCAGAATCTCCACGAATTCAATGCCGGATTCAACAAGAAACTGTTACTAAAACATAAAGCAGTTCCAACTTTAAAACCAGAGGCAGCAGTTGTTGGGCCACAAACTGTAAGTAAGCTAAAGGCAGTCCTCCAGAAAAACGCGATTATGCGATCGCTGAATTCAATGCAAAATCAGCCAAAGTCCGCATATTTATGCGGGGGCCGCATTTTTTCCAATACGCCGCACTTTCGCCGCATAAATTGCCGATTTCCTTGCAAAATATGCGGGGTTTGCATAATTTCATAATCCTCGCATTTTCGTTGCAAAAAAGTCACATGTATTTTAGCAGAAAGTTAAAAATGTTCCGTTTGCTTCACACAAGAGCAGCCATTTCCCCCTGTTTCCATGGGAACGTTATGAAGTGACGCATTTACGCGACGCCGGACAGACTCACGGAGGCGATTGACATCTCACAAATCGAACTCGTATAACTGTCTGTCACACGATCTACTGTCACATCGTTACTTAATAAACAACATAAGATAAAAGAAGTAGCATCAAACAGAAATTACCCGCACACATGGGGTGTTTGAGGCGCACATATAACACTGCAGAGAGTTCAACAGGGAGCGCGCAGCTCTTAAAGGGGCCACACCTTATTTACACTCGTTACAGTCTGAAATAAAACAAGATGAGAAATTAAATTCCCAGCACTTTCTATGATGTAGTATGCTTGCTTATCAAAGGAAGTAATAAGAAATTACTCTTACATTAGCCTAGTGAGAACAGGATGTTGGGGGAATCACTGAAAAAGAGAAATCTTTTTCATCAAACCACAATTTTTGCTACTTCTCTCAATTTTTGCAAATTCCTGCAATTTCATCGCATAAAATTGCATAAATATCCCGCATATTCCATCGCATTTTTAAAGAAAACGGGCCGAGTAATCAATCAATTTTTGCCCGCAACAATCACAAAAAAACTCCGCGTTTTTCTGGAAGGACTGAATACTATTATGGTAAATGTTATATATAAATCGCAAATTTTTTCACAAATTTTTGGAAATTACCACCACAAAATCAGTCATTTTGATCGCAAAAATCACAAAAAAAAATCGTGAAATCCTGGAGGGACTGGTAAGCTAAAGGCCATTGCACACTGAGTACGAAATTTTCGTATGCGTATTTTCGTGTTCGTCAGCCTAAAAAATCGACACGTACAAAAACCTTGCACACCGAGTCCGATGCGTATTTATTAAACCTTTGCGGAAAAAAATGCAAAAATACCAAATGGATTAGTCAAGCAGTTAGGATGATTTTGTTGCAATCTCTCTTATTGAAAAGAGAAGAAAGAGAAAATATTGCGTGGGTCCATCCAGTCCTGAAATTGCACCGAGATGAAGGAGAGTTCCACCTCCTTATCAAGGAGTTGCAAATTTATCCCGAGCGATTAAAAATTTACTTCAGATTGTCAGTGGAACAGTTTGATGCTTTGCTTGCGATTCTGGAGCCACATATTAAAAACAAGACTACCAATTTCCGTGAACCAATCGATTCTGAACAGAGACTGGCAGTATGTCTAAGGTATGGACACTCACAGACGCGCGCGCGGCCCGGTGGAAGCACTGGGCAGACAGAACAGCTGTATAGGCTGTTATATATTGTGCCCAAATAATACATTAGTTATCGAATAGGTGGTTTGCAGTCACGTGATTGTGTTGACGCGCGGAACGGAGATGGAGGGCAAGGAGTGAAGAGCACAATGGACGAGATAGAGGAAAATCCGTACTGTACTACTTTAGACGCTATTACAAACAGAAAATCAAAACATATGTTGGACGTGATCCTTACGTTATGAAGAGGACTGATTTTCAACTGAATTGAGAGATTTGCCTGCCATCGGGCAGCTAGATATCAGCAACTAACTCATCTTACAGACATACTTTTGACTTTACAAAATTCGGAAACTGGTACTTTACACAAACAGCCACATAAGTGTATTTAAACACCTGAATGATTTAATTATAAGCCACATAAATAATGTATTAACTCACATTTGACGAAGTGATCACTGCACACACACACAGGCATTTTCCCATTCGGTTGCTCCCGACCGCAGACGTACGTTTGCAAGGCATTTTCCCCGGTGTTTTTCTGTCAATTTCTTGTATTTTCCCCCCTTATGAACAACAACTTTTGGCACACGATAAAAACTCCTCGTGTTTTTATCGATTTGAGCGACCATAAACGACGCAAAAGACAGGCATTTTGAGTGTGTTATAGTGCTTCCTAATATAGAAAATCACTTCCTGCCCTCCATCTCCGTTTCGCGCCATGGCAACGCAGTGGCGTGACGTCACGTGAAAACAAGCTATGGGCTATATGCACGCATAAGTTCCGCATTTGACGTAAGGATGCTCGTCCATTTCCGGTTGTGTAGATTAAAGCGGAGGAAAACCGGAGAAAACGGGATTATGGCAGAGTCTTCAATATTTACTGTCCTCCCGTCTTTGAAACGAAACGTACATACGTTTAGATGTAATTTTATGTATAGTTATGTTTATTTAATATAATTTTAAAAAGAAGCATAAACACAACGAGGGGTGTCTGTTTTATCTGTTTTTGTGACAAACGTTTCATTAGTATAACCATGGAGTATAAAATTCAATATAAATTCTCGGTATTGCATTGGACTCTACGATCGGCGGAAGTTATCGAGCATGCACCGCCGTGCATAGAGCCCATTGGCTGCTCAATCACTCCTTAATCGATCCGAAATTTCAATCTGATTGAAAAGGGAGGTTTATTCCTTTCATAATCCAATCGTGAGTAGAGAAAATAAACACTTGATCGAATTGCAATGATGTGCGGAATAAGCTCCCCCCGGCCCTGAATTGTCCAAAAAACTCTCAAAATGCTGGCTGTGGATGCGAAAACGCAGAAAATCGAATCCGATCCGAATTTTTTATGACGGACGAAAGTTTCGGAGGCAGTGTGCAAGCGTGATTGACATAACGCGAGGTCGAATTTTTTTTTTTAACGTTCAAAAATTTTGGATGCGAATTTCGGACTCAGTGTGCAATGACCTTAAGACTTAATCATTTTAAATGCATTTGCATGTATAATTCCAGACGTAGCCTTGTGTTTTTTTTTTTTTTTTTCAAATGCCAGCGTTGGCTTTATACCCACTAGGCTACTAGTTATGCTGTTTTGTGTCTAAGACAAACGCGTACAAACATTATGGACCTGAATTTTGTATAAGTACTAATGTTTTAAACGTATTTTTCATGTATATGTGCTTTATGGCGTTATTTTTGATTTGATCAAAAACGTAAACTAATGTTAGCGCTGTTAGAGTATAACATTAGTAGCCAGTCAGTTGCTATTGTTGCCAGTCAGATGCTATTGTGTTAAACAAACGTGTATAAAGTTAAAAAATGTAGCAAAGTATCATTCAGAAATGTTTAGCCGTGTGTGGTGAGGTTCTGCTTGACTCTCTTCAACGCCGCTTTCTCGGTCTGATTCTGCCTCAAAATACTGCAATTCGACACCATTATTTACATCTGGACCTGAGCGCAGACATAATTCGCTCGTAAAGGTAATGGGCGTTAATCTTCTGGACAACGTGAGCGACAGTTTAGCCAATCACCACACACCAGCCCAAAGTAACCAATCTGAGCCCACAGCCTGTTTCTGAGGGAGTGGTTTCATAGAATCAGGAAGTTAACCACTCGTTCAGGGGACAGAGGAGAGCGCGACTTACAATAAAGGTAAAGTTTATGAAAATGAGACTTTTTAAAAACGAAAAACCTTAAATACGTGTTATATTGCACCCCATAAACAGAATCATGCAAAGAAAAAAAGCAGTAACCCCCCCAAAATGTTAATTTTGATTAACATTTCCCATAAACTTGATGAGCAATCCCAGCTGGATTTTAGCAGGGTAGCTTGCAATGAACTTGAATTATATTGTATTTGTAATCAGTGATCATAAAATACTTATATATTGTACAAAGCGTGCATATCGTCATAAAAAGACATTTTTTACACTTATATACAACATGTCTCTTTCTCCAGGTATACCCAATGGTACTTGAATATCGACCACGCATCGACTTTGGCTAGGTTGAAATACTCTGCACTAATTTCATCCTATGAACAGACAGCGAATTGAATGGACCAGTTCTGAAGATGTACTCTACCCATCTCTTCTGTTTAGTTTCGTTCTTTTTTTTGTTAAAAGATTGTCATTTACAACATTGTGAATTATATTTCTTCCGTGTTGTGGTTTATTTACTAAAGTGATGCAAAAGTCATGTTTAAAGGCCTTCCGTAATTTGCATATGATGGTAGCTCCCTTTAAAAATGTCACGTTATGAAAATGTAAGTAAATGCGGCAGTGCCTTTTCCATTACATCCTCTTATGAAGAGATTCAGGCAGACGTTGAGTTTATAAAGAGTTGTTTTTACAGAATTGTTGCCTTTTGTGTTCTATGGACAAAACAAGCCCTACAAGGTTTTGAAAAACATAAGGGTGAGTGTCAGAATGTGAATTTTAGGGTTTAATATAAGCTCCTGGTGTTTAAAGCTTATGGGCATGATTAGAACTTCAAACATCCTCTAAGGCTTTTAAGCTGGTCTGTTTTTGATTTTGCGCACTTAAGGGGTTTTATTTATTATTGGCCATACCTCTATGCTCTCAAAAATGCCGTTTCTTTTATATGGTTTTGGTGACTTCTGCATATGTGCCTCATTTAAAAAAAAAGTTGAATTTAACTTTGCTAAACACATCGAATAGAGGCTTAAAAATGTTATCATACTTCCGTGGCATCATAATTGAGAAACAATTCAGTTTTACCGTCATTTCATTTTGGTTTATGGATGGCAGGCAATGAGTTAAAATCTTCCTAACAATATGTAATGCTCTGGTTATTTTTTTTTTTTTTTTTTTTTACTTTGGATTTTATAGAAACATAGGTATAATGTTAATTGCTTTCTTAAATCAAAGCTTTTGAGTCATGCTTGCCTGTTTTATGTCAGAATAAAAACCGAATCAAGGAGTCCAAAGAAAGAAATGTCAAAGCAAAGGAAGAAACCATACTTAATTCTTGCAAAATAGAATTAAGGGATTTGCTGGGCCACATTACAGTATATTAGTCTGGTCATATTGCACCAAAGACACTCTACAGCATCTGACCACATAGCATAACAGGCCAAAAAACTGTTTGCTTTGCAACTATACTCACAAGAGACCATGTGGCAAAGATAAAGCTTGAATTTCTGAGCATGGAACAAAACAACCTAATTTCTCAGAGTTCAATTTTGTTCCAGTATATTTGTGAATTTTTCCTTAAAAATCTCCCTGAAACATAACTTCTGATAAAATCACATACATTTGAGTTGTTTCTGTTTCCAAAAATAGAAAATATTATTTTGCAATTGTTTTCACATTAAAAAGGTGACTGAAATATAAAATAATGTACGGACACTGAATAATATTTGTTTAGAATGGTCCCTTGAATGTCCTTGTACTGCAATGATAAACATGTATTTTTGTAAGAAGCCCTTGTAGATATTTTATCTTTAAAAAAAATGGATATATATATGTTGTATGTAACAAACATGAAATGCTGCTTAGAATATTCTATTTTTTTTCAATGTAAAGTTCCTGAGGTGATTCCTATAGATTAGAAATGTATACAACATATGACTTGTATACTTGAGTTATTGTATTTGTGTGTATTTGTCCGGAAAAAAATACACTCTTGAATATCGATGACATTGGTCTCCACGTACCATTTTTGATCTTTATACTTATGTCATGGTATTTAAAATTTCTAAAGAGACAAAATACTACAGTATTTATTATATTTAATGCATTTCAGATGGATTTTTAAAATGGAAAAGTCATTCAGCATCATTTTGATAAAAGCCTGTCTGTGGCTCACACAGCTTTACTTTCTGAAAGATGTGCTGCTCTGCAGAGACACTGCATGGGCTCTGAGCTCATGAAAGTGGATTTCTTCACTTTCTACAAGTCGGTCTCAACACCTCTGGATTTCCACTTTTTGTCATGGCCAGCCATTCAGTTTTTCCAAAAGCACTATCTTCTGTCTAGGAGAGTGTCTGTCTGTCCTAACTGTGCAAAATGTATTCTCCATCTGCACAATAGGGAATTGTTTAGACCTTTGTGTCTTTAAACTGTCTTTTTCCATGAAGGTGAACAGTAGTTATATTGGGAAATTGGAGGAGGAAAAACACCAAACATTTGGTGGTGAAACTGCCTGGTGCCCTCGGCAAGATATTGCTCCGGTTACGAATGTAACGTCCCAGCTGCGTATGCAACCCACCGTTCCCTGAAGGAGGGAACTGAGGACTTAGTCGGCGTAGACTAAATGGGACCATGCCAGGGAGCCAGTCATCTTCAAGTACTATTGAACAAGCCAATGGAATTTGGCCAAACAAGTAGGAGAACTGTTTCTTTAAAAACAGGACTTTTAACTCACTGCCTGAAGAGGCTCAGGGGAGGTCTCTGAAAGCAGTAGCACCAGAGATAATCCCAAGAGGGTAAAGAGGGGGCGGAAGGCAGATTTATTCTCCTTACTCCCCTCAGGAACCTGATGATCAAATCGTACTTCCCAAGGATTTTCACCTTACTGCATCATGATGTGAGTCAATACAGAGGCAACATGGGCCCAAGGGACCCACCTCTCTAGTGGCGCTTTTCCACTGCATAGTACGGTACGGTTCGGCTCAGTACGCTTCGACTCGGCGCGGAACAGTTCGGCTCGCTTTGCGTTTCCACTGTAGTAAAGTGTGTGGGACTGATCGTTATTTGCGCGCGCCTTTACTGCCATGACATCATCTTAAAAGCGCCACATTTTCAAACCCACAACACAGGAACAATGGAGACTATCGAGGGGAGGATGTTCCTGATTCTCGGTATGCGGTTGTTTTTAACTGCTAGACGGAAAAATGTGTTTAAAATGAGGCTGATGGCAGCAAAACAAAAATACTGCTAAAAAAGTGTCTCGTGTCGCAAATCCAATGACGCTTGTAGTGACGCTGGTAGTGACGATTCTGTCTGACCAATCAGTGATCTGCAGTGTTTCACGTCACATTTTAGTACCGGTACGGTACGCTTGGAACCTCAACAGACCAGGTACCATTTAAAGCGACCTGAAGCGAACCGTACTGTACCGTACCATGCAGTGGAAAAGCACCACAAGTGAGCCGTACCGAACCGTACCGTACTATGCAGTGGAAAAGCGCCATAGGATACAATGAAGTTTAGTTTGGGGCCATCTGGACCGTTGGGAAGCATTTTTGGGTTCTATGAACCAGGCCAGGGAACCACAGACATTCCCGAGGTGGGGCAGCGAGGTGGAGGACACGGACCCGGCTCGGAAGGCCCAGAGGCGGCCCGAAGCAGGGTCTGAGTGTGGTGCACAACACTTACCTGCCTCCACGAGACGGCCAGGGATGTGTGAGAAGGCGGATGATTGGGTGCTCAAACCGCACCCAGCAGCCGTGCTGGTGAACAAGAGGGGGCTGAGAATTTATGGGGTCGCCAACACCAGACTTGTCCTCTTAGGACCCAGGAACAGAGGAATTTGCTCTTTCTTTGAAGTGTGAGTACCGCTTGCTCCTTTTTTTGTTAGCCAGTGGTGGAACTAATTAACACACAAACGAAAACTCCACACGGCCCTCACCCGGAGGGAGGGTGTGGATCGGTGTCCAACTCCAAGAGCATCCCACTCCACCCCTGTGCGGCCCACTTAGGAATGCTTTCGCTGTCGCTTGCCACCTGGCTTGGCAGCATCTGGAGCTGGCTGGGCGTCCATACTGCGGCCGGCTCCATGCTGAGGCCTGGCTGAAGGCTGCTGCGGATGCCCAGTGCACTTGCACAGTCAAATGGCCTTTCAGCAGGCCAGAAGGGCATATTTAAGTTGCACAAAACTTGCCATTTTGTCAGATTTTCTCGTCTGAACAGCAGTAGCATCGACTCACGCATGAGCACGGCAGGATACTCGAGCACTTGCTCCCTTTAGATACGGTTCACTTAACATTGCGTCAGAGGATCTTCTCTGAAAGCTTTGGGGAACGGCTGCAAAACACTGTGTTTCCACAGGCAGAATGGTGCACTAATACATGTACTTCATAACATCAGTAACTCGACAGAACAACCTAGAACAGTTTTCCTCTGCGTTTGCAATGTCTGCACAAAGGAGACGGGCAGCTGCTCGAAGATCTCTTTTGGAGAAAACTGTTGATTTTATACTAAAAAAAATGTAAGTATCACTCCTTAAAAATTAATATTAGCTCAGAATGAATTGCATTGTTAGCCCACCCCAAAACCTAAACAAAATAATAATATTAAATGCTGACCAATAATTATATAACTTTTTTATATACTAAAAATATAATTGAATATATTAAGCCAAATGTAATTTTTTTTTCATATGACATAAGTTATGCATGAATACATTTATATTGCTAAATGCAGTGAAACTTCTCAATTGTCAGTCAATCGATGAATTAATGCATACATTAATTAAATAATTACAGTATATTTTATATACAGACAACAATAAGAAACATGAATAAATGAGTAAAAGAACATATAAAAGTAACCAGCACAATAAACAAATGCATATACAAGTCAACAACACATGAAGCAAAGCTTTAATCAAACTACAAGCATGTATTTACAGGCGCTGAACACCAAACCCTACTGCCATCTCAACTCAGTGGTTGCGATTCTGCGGCTTTATTCTGCTGAATTAACCACCACAGGTGACTGTGCCTTCGTGCCAGAGCTTGTTGCTGCGCTGCGCTTCACAATCTGAGGCAATAAGGGCAGGTGGAGCGATAGAGGGTCTCGTAAGGGCAGGTGGAGAGATATCCATGGCACCACTTCCAGGAATCAGCTCTGGGCTTCTCATCCTCAGTGCTCACACCAGTCTGCAGACATTTCAGATCATACAAAAATGCACAAACATTACACAAAAGCAGTAATTTTAACAGCACAATGTCATTTGATTTATGTATTAAAAATAACCTTACTTTAAATTTGAGTAAAATCCCAACCCCCCATAAACTACAACTTAAGATTTAATAGATTTTGTTATCCATTTCTGTAGTATAGCTACTCACTCAAAGCCTTTGATGACAGCATCAGCATCATGAGCCTCTTTCCACCAGATAAACACACGCGTGTTCTTCTGTAACATACAGACAGATTCACTTCTGTGATTTATGAGCTCAACACTGCATTAACATGCTGAGAAGGTTGATGTGTTAACTCACTTTTTATCCAACTTAAATGTTCCTCAATATATCCACACTAATAAGGGACAAATTCAATATATATCATGTTTAGTTACTTTATAGATTTGTTTATTTGTCTAATGTAAGCAGTGTTGACAACAGTGAATTATCTTACATAATAGCACACATAACGTTACACTCAGATGTATTTTTCATGTTGGGTTGTGCTCACCTGCAATACTTCTACAATATTTTCCTTCATGATGAAAATAGACATTTTAAATAAGCATGTTTAAGATGTATGGTTATGTAAATCCACTTTAGAAACGTAACGTTATGTGTTACTGGAGCTCCCCTGTTTGCTATACATAATAAAACATGTGTTTACAGCTAAACACAACTGTACTATACTGTCTAAGTCCTTTACACCTCCAACAGTTAAAACGTTTACTCGATAGTAGTTTAAAGCATACGATTTAAACACAAGGAACCGTGTTTACTCACATTTGAAAACCTCCGCGTCGCTGATCTCCGTGATGTTTATAATGACGTATCCACTCGCGTGGCCTCCTGGGATAGATGAGTATCATGAGTACCCATCGGACACAAGGGGGTAATCCATCGACCGGAAGTTGAAGCCTCGCGGGAGCTGACATCTTGTAGCAGAACTTCACTTGCGTTAGCATTCCCATTGACTCCCATTCATTTTGGGGTCACTTTGACAGTGAATAACTCTACATCTGAGGCGTTTGAAGACCCCATTTGTCCATTATTTATTTCTAAAGAAACACGACAATGTATAAATAGCTCCATTACCTTGTAAAAAATCGCCAAAAACGGGCTTCAATCGTCTCAATGGAGTTCCAATGAGATGGCTCTGTCCATTTCTTTTACTGTCTATGATCGGACAGCACTCAAAAATCTGGGCGGAAGCAGTAAGCCATCCAGGAACTTCTCGCCTACTCTTTTATGAATACTGATGTTTCGAACGTACTGCTTCTTTCACGTACTGTTTTTGCCTACTTAATAGTAGGAAAGTAGGCATATTCGCACTTTAGGTATGCGTACATCCGAATCTCGCGATAATTAGTACGTCACTCAGGTAATTCTCGCCTACTCTTTTGGATTCATACTCTTTCGCTCGCTTACTCTTTTTCCCATACTAAATATAGGGAGGTATGCGGTTTGGAACGCAGCATCGGGTTTGCTGACCGGAATCTGAGTGTATAGCAAGTCTAGAAAAACCCTTGAGGGTGGAGCCTGGTCTAGGCCGGCAGGTCTTATGCCAGATATAGGGGCATGGTACGTTGCAATAGCTGCCATGTATACTCTAAGAATGGACTGACTTCCAACAGCTCCAAAAGAAATGAGAGAATGGAAGCGATCTCTGGGGAGGCTTGAAGGCTCCCATCAAGAGGCCATTGGTGGAGGCTCCACATCTCGGATTGGGGGATGCCAGATTGACCCGTTCATTAGGGAAAGGAAGCAGTCATCTCCTCCTCTGGAGTA